GTGGATGGTGGATCTGGAAGGCAAAAAGGTGTGCAGCCCACAGGAAAAGTCTCCATTCACAAATGTCTTGGCTCTTCTTATGCTTTAACAGCCATCACAGTCGTGTATGCAATTTGTTACCATTAAAAGCAGCCTCTACTTGGAACCATTTCCTAGTTTGTCTGTTGGCACGTAACTTCTCGCAGCTGTTCTGTTTATTTGAAACGCATCCCCTGCCTGCTTCCTTTTTTCTGAAATCTGGGTATACTTACTTGGAATCCCCTATCTATTCTTCCAATCTGTGCAGGAGAGTTAGATCTTGCAGACCTGCTAGTTCTCAGAGCTCCTTTCTCTTTGTTAGACTCTTAGGCAATAGAACTCTTTTGGTGAAAGGCACATTTCCCAGCCACTCTGTTGCTCTGGGACTTCAAACTTCTTAAGGGGCAGAGACGGGATTTCTTTTAGTTTGCCAGGGTGGTGCGCTGAGATTCTGAGGGTGCATCTAGTCTAATGAGCGTTGTGATGAGTTAAAAGTATCTGTTCTGGTCACAGTAGTGGGATGTCATTGCATGTTCTGTTCTTGCATTTGCTCTCCAAGCATTGTGTACCTGACTCTGAATCACCTTACTTTTATCCGTGAGTGGCTGAGCTCCCATTTTAGTGTTTGCCTTGACCCGGTAAGACAGCGAAAGAAGAGAATGTTTTAGTCTTCTGTAGAATAAAGTGAGCTCAGATTTTAAAAGCACAACTAGAATAAGCCTTACTATAACTTATTAGTGAAAGTGAACTCGCTCAGTTGTGTCTTACTCTTTGCGACCCCATGGACTGTAGCCCCCCAGCTCCTCGGTCCATGGGATTTTCCAGGCATGAATACTGGAGTGGGTTGCTATTTCCTTCTCCAGGGGATCTTCCCAAGCCAGGGATCAAACCCGGGTCTCCCACATTGTAGGCAGATGCTTTACCGTCTGAGCTACCAGGGAAGCGAAGTTTAAAATCATATGAATCTGAAATTTGGTCCTTTGAGAATAATTGGTAAAATGTCTTCTGCTCTGATAACTCTTGCTGTCTTTCCTTTTCAGAGACTTTAAAGGTGTTAAGAGTGGAAGGCCCTTTCAATGCCTTTGGGACCATCTCCCTTTCCTTTACAGAGGAGGCCGCATGTTTAGAAAGGTGGTGACTTGTCCATGCAGTGGCAGCAGAGATAGGGCTGGAGTACAAAGCTCGTCCTCGTGAGGCTTCCTTCTCTCCAGGGTAGCGCTCCCTCCTCACCGCGAACCCGCACTGACTTTCTGACACAGGTGGCTCCCGTCGTCTCGGGTTCTCCCGCTGTCTGGGTGGGAGGTCCTGGAGAGAGGTGTGTGAGCGGCAGTGCTAGACATACCATTTCCAGAGAAGGCTTGCAAGCAAACACCTTTCTGCCCGTTATCACTTTCTCAAAGGATATGTTCAGACACTGTACTTTCTTTATTGAGTTGCCCTGTGTTGGTCAGTGTGGGGCAGTTGCATTTGGAGTTGACAGTGTGATGGAATCTTCCTCCCTAACACCCTGTGCTCTGTGGCAGAGCGGGCGCCGTCTGGGCGTCAGCAGAGGCGGCTCTAGGTGAGCTGCTTTTCGTTTCACTCCCGAGACTTCTGAGATGATTGTTACATTCCCTTTGGCTTAGCACCTGCCTTTGCTTTGATCCGGGGGAAGTGAGGCAATCCCAGGGCCCCTGTGATGGGCACTTGCGAAGCAGCTGTGCTTCTGTGTTTGGACTCCCTGCCCTGGCTCCCCACATCCACAGCCCTGCGCGAGCCTGCTGTGGGGGGCTTCTGACCCATCCTTTTGGTTCACGGTGCTTGATCTGCACCGTTTCCAGATGGCTTGACTTTCTTCCGAGACAGACATCAGTTGCAAAGATCAGAGCGGGCCGGCTTTTGAAGAGGTTTTTCAGATTCTGCTTTGCAAACCTGCTGAGAAATGTGGTGTTCCTTTCATGTCTCCATCCCATCTGTCTCTTGAGAGGGCAAAGGGTCGGTCCTCCCATGACAAGGGGCTGTTGATGTTGGCTGCAAATTCATTTCAAATTAATTTCTACATTTTTGTCATAGACATCTAAGAGCCATTGTATTTCCTTGATCTTGACATTGTTCTAGCAAGGCTGCCAGTGAGCAAGAAGAACTGTTCTGCACGCTAATGCAGAAAGAGAGGAAAAGTGCTTGTTCCTCATGGGGTTGCAGCAAAAGCTGTTCTTAGTTTTTGCCTTTGTTAAATGCTGGGTCCTGGGTAATGCCACAGGTATTGCAGGAATGTATTAGTTAGCTAGTTAAGCTGCTAGTGATACCTCCTTAGGTACCCATAATGCATTCGTTGACTGCCTTGTATGCCAGACACAGTGTTTGTTTGTTTTTAAATTTTTAATTGTTTGTTTATTGCTGGCTGAGCTGGGTCTTCGTTGCTTGGAAGCGGCTCAGCTGGCTGAGCTGGGCGTCTAGCTGCAGCAGTGGGGGGTGTTACTCTTCATCCCGGCGCATGCGCTTCTCATGGAAGTGCCTTCTCCTGTTGGTCACAGGCTCCAGGTGGGTGGGCTTCAGAAGTCATGGCGCGCGGCTTAGAAGCTCTGTGGCACGTGGAGCCTTCATGGACTGGGGATCACACCACGTCCCCTGTGTTGGCAGGCAGATTCTTATCCACTGTGCTACCAGGGAAGTCCCACAGTGGGGTTTCAACCGTGTCATTTCCTATTCTTACAACAACCTACGTGATGGTTGTTGTCCTTGTTTGATAGATGAGAAGGTAAACTGAGGCTGAGTTTTAACCAGACCCCCTATCAGGTGTGTAGACGGGACAGGCCTAAGGTCCACTGAGTCTAAAGTCTTCTCGTTTGCTCTCTTCCACGGGGCCATATGTGAGTCATGCTCAGCCACCACCTGACTCTGTTTTACAAGGACATGGCCACACCCGTGTGTTTACGTATTGTCCGTGGTTGCTTGCACCGTGGCAGAGTTGGGTAGTTGCCACACACACCATGTGGTCGACAAAGCAAAAACTTTTTCTTGAAGGTCGAACCTTTAAGAAAAAGTTCGTCAACCGCTGCTGACAGTTACCACATCATTGGGAATGTGGCCAGTTATTTTAGTTGTATGATGTGAGTGTGAAAACCCAGTCTGACATCTCTGTGTTTCACTTTTTCTTCCCCTTTCCCTTCTCTCCTGTCTTAACATTTTTGTTAAGATTCTGTGGAGATGTGGTAGCCTTTACCTCTGAGTCTAAATGCCGGCTAGTAGTGGCTTGATTTATTTAGAGATTTCCTCTTGGAAATCTTGTGACAGATTGTTTGAGATGCTAAATGGTTTTGTAAAGTCAGTTTTTCAGCAGGTCTGTCTTTCTTGAGGGAAAAGATTGGATAATGTAATAAATGGTGCTGCAGTTTAGCCAGCTCTGCTGCTTTTATCTTGAGAGGGGAATGTCCCTGTGTTTCTGCTTGACGCTCATGTACTGTTGGGCTCCTCCGGCGGCTCAGACAGCAGTGTACTGTTACATGGACAAATTCTGGCAAGGTGGACTGAAGGAATATTAGTATCAGTTTTATGCTCCTCAGGCTCATTGAGGGTTTGCCTAAGAGAAATTAGGTTGCAAGATGCGTGTGTGCTCAGTCACTCATTCCCGTCTGACTCTTTGTGACCCCACGGACTGTAGCCCACCAGGCTCCTCTGTCCATGGGATTTTCCAGACAAGAATACTGAGTGGGTTGCCATTTCCTTCTCCAGGGGATCTTCCCGACCCAGGGATCAAACCCGTGTCTCCTGCATCTCCCCTGTTGGCAGGCAGATTCTTTACCACTGAGCCACCTGGGAAGCCCCCGGTTTTAAGATAGCAGTTTTCAAATGTCAGTGTACATGAGGAACACTGAGATGCTCATTAAACAATGTGAATCCCCAGACTCTCAGTCTCGGCAGTTCTGAATCAGTAAGTCTGCTCTAGGAGCTTCTGATGCTATGAGAAAAGGCTGGCTTGGGGAGTGGAATCTTGTATAATGGTGATTCCAGGCCATCTAAATAAAGATGGGGTTGATGACTGGTTTTTTAATCCAGGTTCAGTTTACCTTGGAATGTAATGTTGTAACTATCAACTTTACATCTTTAAGTAAAACATAATAGGAAAATTATACTACTGTAAATGCATTTTGACTACTTCCTTCTTCCATTACCACAAATAACAGTAGCACTTTATGTTTTATGTTGTGCTTTATAGTTATAGAGTTCCTCATTATACACATCTCATTTGATTTTTATGTCACCCCTTGAGGTAGATGTGTGTGGCAGGTAGTGTATTTTTCACTTATCAAGTAAGTAAACTGAGATTTAGAAAGTAAGTGATTATTTTCTAATCAGCCATGAACCTAATTATTTCTAATTATTCTAAATAATACTATTAGGAATAAAATAATAAAATAAAAAATAAAATAAAGTAAAAATAAATTAAAAAATAAAAATAAAATATAAAAATTCTAAATAATAATTCTTTCTAATTATTTTCTAATAAGCCATGAACCTAGAATTCCTATACACCAGTTCTAATTTCTAGTCCAGTGTTATAGCAGTGTATAATGTTGTCTTTATGATCCCTATTTTGATTTTTAGAGGAAAATACTGTTCTGAGGCCCTTCTGATAGAGAAAGGATGAGCTGTCCATAGTTAAATACTTTGGTAATCTCCCATAGGTGACTCATGGGGAAGTGGTCACAATTGTATGAAAGTAAAGGGGAAAGGGTTAGTGGCTCAGTCATATCCAACTCCTTGCAACCTCATAGATTGTATCTTTTCTGTCCATGGGATCCTCCAGGTAAGAATACTGGAGTGGGTTGCCATTCCCTTCTCCAGAGCAGCTTCCTGACCCAGGGATCGAAGCCGGGTCTCCTGTATTGCAGGCAGATTCTTTACCATCTGAGCCACCAGGGAAGCCTTGGTTGCACTAGTTCAGAAGGGCAAATGAGTTGGTTCTTAGCATGGAAGAAGAAATCTCTCTCCTTCTTTGACAGAAACTTTATAAGACGGGTCGGGAGATGCAGGAGAGGATCATGGACCTGCTTGTGGTGGTGGAGAATGAAGACGTCACTGCTGAGCTGATTCAAGTGAACGAGGATTTGAACAATGCCATCCTTGGGTGTGAGAGGTGAGCAGTGGGCAGCCTCTCTGACCGTCCTCCAGGGCTGGGCACACCTTCCAGTGCTCAGCATTCTCAGTGCCTGCCGGTGGGCGCTCAGAAAGATCAAGAACAAGTTTGGACATGGGTGCCTGCCTCCCAAGGCGGGGAATTCTGGTCTTGCTCTTCCAGGAGTATGTGATTCGGCTTTCGGGAATGAGCATGGCCTGGGCAGTGCGAGCGGCATTCATGAGTGTGTAAGCTGTGCTCACATGCTGACCTGTGAGCAGAGCCTGGATCTGAATCACCAGGTGTCTGCACTGCGCACATCATCGGCTCTCAGACAGACCAGTGGTACAGGCCGAGCGTTGTCGTGAAAGTGAGGTTTACCCTAAGTTTGAGGTGGAGAACCACAGGGAACAGTAGCGAGAAGGAAGAAGAAGATAGTCTACACAACGTCAGAGCAGTGAGGGTAATCTGTATGTGAACATGAACTTTGTTTTTCTTTTAATTCCATCCAGAAAAGAATGAAGGCAAAAATGTTAAATACAGTCTTCCCTCCGTATCTGTAGGGGATTGATTTCAGGAACCCACACCCCCAGCAACACCACAATCTACAGATGTTCTAGTCCTTTATGTAAAATGGTGTAGTTTTTGCATGTAACCTACGCATAGGTTACATGTACACTTTAATGTACATCCTCCTGTACACTTTAAATCATCTCTGGATTACTTATACCTAATAAATGTAAATGCTGTGTAAATAGTTGTAAATACAATGTAAATGCTATGTAAATAGTTGATGGTGCGTGGCAAATTCCAATTCATTTTTAGAACTTTCTGGGATTTTTTTTTTTTTTCCCAAATATTTTCAGTTTGAGGTTGGTTGAATCCTTGGATGTGGAATCCACAGATAAAGAACCTGTGGATACAGGTTAGAAATGTTAGAAACATTTTAGTTTTTTTCTAAACTTGTTTTATAGTCATGATCATATAAAGAACATATCCTTTTGTCTCTCCCTTGATTTTCTTCACAGTATTTGTGTACCCTATGTTTCTTAAATGCTTTGGCCAAACCATTATTTTTAACAGCTGCATAATAGTCCATTCTTCTCTCATAGTTCACTGGTTAGGTGTTTAAGTTGTTTCCAAGTCATTTATTTATAAGAGTCTTATAATCTATTGTAATCTATAGTTAAGCCTATAGTCAGGAAAACACCTTCAATAATATATATGTGTGTTTACACACACATGCACACACACGCACACGGAAGGGAGATGGATGAACGGAGTCGAGGTCTGTTTGGTGAGAATAACAGGCAGACCTGGCCCATGTTAGAAGGCAGGGAAGCTTCTGTGTGGAAGGAGCAGGCCAGGGCACAGCGGGCCTGGAGGGGCGCCAGGACCTGTCCCCAGGGAGGGCAGCACAGGGCAGCTGCTTTGACTGAGGTGGCTTTCTCCTCAGTCTTCGGTAAAGTGCTAAATAAAAACACAGCTTCAGGCACGTCTCCTGGGCTCTTTCCAAACCTACCCCTAAGCCTTCCTGGGCCTCTAAAGACCCCCCAAACCGCTTCTAGATCTTTCCTTAGAATAGGGACTGTATCGGCATGTGAGTAGGACAGTGTTCCCTCGTGTGGCCCCTACGCACTAGATTCCAGAGGTTTTCCGCAAAGTGGCACTTCAAGGCGCCCTTAGGGGACTGCTCTTGCTGAGCCTTTCCGGAGTTAGTGGCCGCATCTCCCACCAGCTGATGGAGAGGGGCCCGTGTGACTAAGGGAAGGAGGTAAACAGGCCCGGCTTCGAACTTTGCTCTTCCTTCTGGACAGACTGCTTGACTTTTTAACAACTGGGGTTTTTCCCTGTTTATTAAAAGGGGACTGCTGCCTCTTTGGAAAGGGCTTGTTTATTTTGTTTGTTCGTGAGAATTAAATGTGATAATATAGATGAAAGCACCTCGCTGGTGCTAGCTCGTTAATCTTTAATTTCCTGTCCTCCTCCTCTTGTCCCACTGAGTCTTCTAAATCACCGTCTGGACTTTCCCCCGCTGATCCTGAATCAATCAGGAGAATCAGGAAGTAGACACACAGCTGTGGAACAAGTTTCCTCTGAGTGAGCCGATCTGTGCAGACGGGACTCGCTGTCCTCACCCTTCGTTTGCTTTGATGTAAATCTTTCTAAGTAGGAAGATGGCTAAAGAAACCATACGGTTTTCAGTCGGGTGCCGACTCCTGGTTTTCATTTTGAAGACTTCTGTTATTGCAAACCATGAGACCACTTACTAAAAGCTTCCTCTGAGGGGGAATGTGTGTTTATTTGGTCTTGATGTTAGGAGAGTGGGTTATTTCTGTGAACAGCTTTTTCTGATTGAGCTTTGAGTCAGGACTTTGTTTCTTCTTGGAGGCTTTAGAGGAGGATCGTTTTCCTACAGTGTGCAGTTTATGCCATTTTCCCTGGCTCCTGACACCTTTCCTCCATTTTCAAAGCCAGCCTTGTCTGACTGGGTCCTTCTCACGTTGTATCCCTCTTGCTTCCTTTCCTCTGTCTCCCTGTCCACATTTAAGGGCCTTTCTGATTACACTGGGCTTTATGTAAACAGTCCAGGATAATCTCCCAGTTAAAGTCTGCTCACTGGCAACCTTCAGTCCATTTGCCCTCTAACCTGACACGCTCACTGTTCCATTGATTTACTATGTGGATATCTTGGTGGGGTCGGGGGGATAATTCTGCTTACCAGTGTTTGTGCTCTGTTCCTTAAAGATTCACATCCATCCCACAGGCAAAATACACTCATCCTGTTTCAGAATCTCCAAAAGTTTCCCCTCGTTACATCCAGGGAATAGTTGTGCAAATAAGGAAACAGAAATTTGTTACTCAAGGTTTGATTTGTGAGGGTTGGTCACACCTTGCACATAACTAGCTAGCACGCAAGAAGCCAGTGCCACTAGTAGACAGAAGAAAAGCCCATGTGTTGAACAGGGAACATCCTTAAATCTAAGCCATATTCTAATTCAGTGTAAGCTTTTAGACTTTAAAAGTGTTTAGGTTCATGGAATTGATGTGTCATAATAGTAATACTATGTGTTTCTAAAGCAGCTTTTAGTTTGCAAAGCATGTCCACATTCATCCACCTATATTACCTACCTACCTATATCTTGCTCTTTAAAATAGCTCTCTGAGGAAATGGCTCAAACATTACTATTCTCTGTGAAGAGTTGGACAACTGAGGTCCATAAGTATCGTCTTATAACTACTCAGTAATAAAGCTAACGCTTGTACTTTGGATTTCTGCCTTCAGCTTCACTATTCGTTCAAACCTATTCTCTTACTGATTTATTTCACTGCTCCTTTACCCACAGTGAAGTAAGAACAGTGTAAAATTAAAACAAAGTTGTCAAAGGTCAATATTTTTGGGTGCCAAGCATCTTATAAAAATGAAGATTAAACAATGAAAATATGTTGACTGAATTTTATGTAGAATGATAGTTTTGGATAATTTTGGCAAAATTGCAAACATATTTGAGAATAAGGAGAATATTTAAGTATGTGATACATTCATAAGGTACCCACAGTGAAGTAAGAACAGTGTAAAATTAAAACAAAGTTGTCAAAGGTCAATATTTTTGGGTGCCAAGCATCTTATAAAAATGAAGATTAAACAATGAAAATATGTTGACTGAATTTTATGTAGAATGATAGTTTTGGATAATTTTGGCAAAATTGCAAACATATTTGAGAATAAGGAGAATATTTAAGTATGTGATACATTCATAAGGTAAAGTATACAACCACTAAACGTTGTATTTCTGAATAACTTGAAAAATGATGTCAACATAATGGAATTATACTGAATTATGTAGATATAATTTCAACAAAGTTTAACATAGATTAACTTACGGAAAAAAAAAATAGTACAAGGAAATACATAATGTTAATAGAGACTGTAAAACTTGGTGATTGTATTATTAGTATTTATAATATTTGTCCATTTTCTCATAGAACTGGGAAAAAGTTATTAAAGTACTTTATTGGGAATTGATTATGGATGAAGTTGATTATTGGTGAATATTTGCATATTAATAATTTGTTAAATATTATAGCATTTTCATATCTGTTTTCTTTTAAATACTTGCAAAACAGGTTTACTCGAAACCAACAAAGGATTTTGGAGCAAAATAAGAACCAGAGGGAAGATGCCAGTGTAAGTAAATAGAAATGTTATAAAATGAACAATTAAAAATTCTACGAATTACATGGTAAGGAGCAAAGCTTACCTAAAACAAATCTTAAAAAAGAAGAAATATGCATTAACGATTTGGAATGTTTTAGTAGTGCAGAGTGTTTGCCTTAATGACTCACTGAGTTATTGATAAGAGCTCATAAGACGATTCTCTGATTAAGCAGGGAAGCCATGTCAGTTTTGATGGGATTACTCCTAGTGTTGCCTATGGAATGGAGAATTCTCTCCCAGGATACCTCCAAAATAAGATCTTCCTTTTTTCAAAGAGAAGTCTCTGGGGAGAAAGCCATGATAAACTGCCTGATGCAGTTTTTTCTAAACTGTGTTTTTGTTTGCTGTGTTTTCAGACTACCAGTGAACCTTCCGCCCCATCCTCAGATCTCCTTGACCTGAGTCCCAGCCTTCCGATGCCTAGGACCACCCTGGGAGAAGTCAGCACCCTGAATGCTCAGCTTTCAGACTTAAGTAAATAAGCACATGGGTCTTTTCAGACCAGCTGAAGAGCTTGATGTGAAACAGTTCTCCTTGGTTTCTTGATTAAATGCAACTTGAGAAGGACTGAAGTCAATTTGAGTATCAGAGAACGTATCAGGAGATGTAATTACTTCTTGGCCAGTGGTTAGGTCGTACCCAGTACAGGAAGGGGATGCGTCTAGGGGAGGAGGTCCTTGAAACCCATCCCGCTGGCTTGGGATTCGCCTGGCCTACTTAGACAGCTTGTTCAGCTCCCTGGGCAGCATTTAGACGCACTCTGAGCCCATTCACTATTATCTTTGGGTTTCTCTGCCATACTGCAGCTTCAGGTAAGGGAATATTTGATGCAGATAGAGAAAATCAGAAATTATGAGGCCTCAAGTGGTGAAATGTAGAGGGTAAATCACAGGCTTTTGAGTCAGAGAAGTCCAAGTTGAAATCCGCCAGTCCAGTTCTGTCACTTCTTAGCAACCCAACTCTTGAGACTTTCCTACTAAGTGAGTCGCACTAATGGGTTTTTGTGAAAGTAAAGGATGATGTTGCACTGTAGGCTTAGGGTTACCTGTTTGTCTAATGCATTTGTTACCTATTATCCTTCCCAAAGAGTTTTGGTAAATTACAACGTAAAATGGGGGCTTCCCTTGTAGCTCAGTTGGTAAAGAATCTGCCTGCAATGCAGGTGACCCAGATTCGATCCCTGGAATGGGAAGATCCCCTGGAGAAGGAAATGGCAACCCACTCCAGTATTCTTGCCTGAAGAATCCCACGGACAGAGGAGCCTGGCAGACTACAGTCCATGGGGTTGCAAGAGTCGGACACAACTTAGTGACTAAGCTACCACCAAATGTAATGAAAAATCCTGAAATCCAGATTTTCCTGCCAAATTAAAATCAGTTTGTTTGCCTTTTATGTTAGCAAGATTTTTTAGAATCAAAATATTCAGTATTATTCAACTTGTGGTTTTCTTATAACTTTCCACATTTCTAAAATGTTAGCTGCTTTCTTAGACCAGTGGGATATTTGGAATCCATTATATTGAAGAGTTTTCAGGTTTTTACCAGTGGTAACAGAGGGGGAGAAATAATTATTCTCTTTGGGGTATCTCATGATTATGGGAACTTAAGAGTTTGGAGATGTGAGTGTAGAACTCTGTGTATACCACAACTTTTTACTTTTGTGCTTCACAGGAAAAGACATAAAATCCTTTCCATTCTGAGTCAGCCTGGGATTTTAGAAAACCCAATATAATAGTGTTTGTTACCTTTACAGCATCCTCTTTTTATGACAGGGAATTTCTCTCTTTCTAATTGCCATAAATGATTTTTAATTTTTATTTGAGGAAATACCATGATTTTATGGTGACAGAACTATCTCAATCTCTTTCATTTGATGGTGGCGGTTTTTTTTTTTTTTTTGGTAACCATGGAAAATCCAACAGAACTGATAAACAAAATGTTTTAAAGCTGAACAAGTACATTTTGTGTTCTAGATTTCAGCTCTCTGAGTCCAGTTGTACCAAACAACTTCAAACCCAGTCTTAATACACAGGTGGATCTGCTAGCCTTGGAAAATACAGAAACACCCCTGTAAGTATGTCAGTAATACTCCAGAACTAATTCAATCTCATTCTTATTCCTATTCCTCATATTTAAGAAAGCATAACATAATAGAAAAGGTGGAGACTTAGGAATCTGATGTAACCGATACAGAATTTCAATACTGCTCCTGGTTGCTCAGATGGTAAAGAATCTATCTGTAATGTAGGAGACCCAGGTTCGATCCCTGGGTGAGGAAGATCCCCTGGAGAAGGGAATGGCAACCTACTCCAGTATTCTTGCCTGGAGAATCCCATGGACAGAGAAGCCTGGCAGACTACAGTCCATGGGGTCTGAGAGTCAGACATGACTGAGCAACTAACACGTTCATTTTCACTAGGGATCTAACATAACTGATTTAGACTTTCAGTACTGTTTCTTAGTAGCTGTGTGACCTTGAATGAGAAACTTAACCAGCATGAGCCTTCATTTTTCTTCCAAGAATCCTCTCTAGGATTCTTAAAAAGATTCTGTGAAATGCTACATGTACCTCCTAGGATAGCACTCTGTACATAATAAGCATTCAGTAAATCCTGTTTCTCTTTTTTTTTTAGTGGTAACAGGAGGTAGGAAAAATATATTGACAGTGAGGAGAACAGAAATGGCCACACAGATTGCAGAGCACTCGCTATGTGGGAGACATTTTGCTGAGCTGTTTTTATTTCATTTAATCTTTGCAGTAGTTCTTGAATTGGTGCTGTTACCATTATTCCCATTTTATAGGAAAAAAGCCTGAGATACAGAGAATAGAACTTACCCAAGTTCATATACCAATTAACTAGCAGATCCGGTGAACTGACAGTTTACCAAAAAAGAAATACAAATGACCTAAAAACATATTTTTGCTCAGTGATGCTCAGCCTTACTTACAGTTACAGAATGATGAGTTAAAATGCAATAAGACTGTTTTTAACCTCACAGCTTGCATGTTTGTTAACGTGGTTTGTTGACTGTGGAGAGACAAATACTATAACAAAATTGTGCAGTTCTTATTAGGGGCACGTGGCAATTTCTGTTAAAATTATAAATGTATTTAAAATTATAAATGTACCTTGAATTGTAGTCTTACTTCTAGGTATTTATGCTCACTGATGCAAAATAAAGTCAATTGTTCTTGACAACATTTGTGCAATAGCTAATAATTGGAAACATACCCTTCAGTTTGAGGAATGGTTAAATAAACATCTACATAATATATTACACTGCTGTGGAAAAAAAGTATTCCCTCTACGTGAGAGACAATCACCAGTGTATTTATTATTAAGTGAGAAAAGCTGCAAAGCAGTGTGTATATGCTCTCTTGCATTTGTGTAAGAAAGTGGGAAATAATATATGCTAATATTTGCCTCTCTTTGCATAAAGAAATAGAAGAAAAATGCAGAAGAACCTAAACAAAGCATGGTTACCTAAGGTTAAGAAAAGGCAGGATGGAGTAGATAAATAGCAAAAAAATAAACAGAAGTCAAATTTGCCTTCCATCAAGTCCTGTATTCTTTTTTCCCTTTTAAATATATGTATCTCAGGTAATAGGCAGTACATCTCCATGTTTCAGATATCAAAGCAATATAAAAATACGCACAAGGACAGTCCTCGATCTTCCCCCACTCCTAGCCTGCCTATTGCCTTCCCTCAGGTCATACCTGCTTCCACCCAGGGAGCTCCTTTGTTAGTTTCTTACTTACCCTTCCAAAGGGTCTGTATGTAAATAGGAATATGAGCTATTTTTCTTCTTTATTAAATGAAGGGCAGAATACTGTACGTACTATTTCAAAACTTTCTTTTGTTTTTCATACAACAGCATATCTTGGCTGTATTTTTATGTCATTGGACTTAGATATTTTTTAGTTGCTTTTCTGTGTTAAAAGAGGTGCAGAGGGAGGAGAAGAGAAAGAAGAATCAAACTCGGGAGGAAAGTGTGTAAGGGGAGAAGAGAGAAAGGAGAGATTCACGCGCTGGAATGTGGCTGTCGTGTGAACCACCAGGTTGGGTCAGAACCTTCACTGGACGCCTTCTGGTGTTGACCTCTGAGCTGCAAGTCATTGTTGAAATGTAGGCAGAACTCCAGTGAAGTTGCTTAGTAAATTATGTGGTCTGAAGTAGCGGATTCTGTTTTCCTTTATCCTGCAAATCTTGTTGGGAAAGATTGACCATATAAATGAAATCCCATTACCAAAAAAAATGTATAAAACCACACAAAGATCAAATCCTAGCTAATAAGTGCTTGGTTTCATGGATCTCATACTTCAAGGTGCATAAAAATCTTGAGTGACTATTAAAAAATAAAATGGCTAGACCCCAGAAACTCTTATTCAATAGCAGGAATCTTTAGTTTTAAAAAGAGTCTCTGGGGAACCATAAAACAGTGATCAGCTGATCATTAGAAACTCTATTATGATTGTCTATCCAAGATCCAAATATCAAAATAATAGTTCTTAGAATTCACTGGAATGAAAGATAATAGGTGACATCTGTTTTGTTTTCTAGATGATGTCTTTTGAACATATATTTTCTAATTTTTGAAAACTTAACCTGAGTGAAACTGTCACTAGACCAGTTTTTTATAGTGTTGGAAATTGAAGCACTAATGTTACCTAAGGCATGGATCTGAGTTGAATCATGTGTGAAAGATTACTTGCAGAAAAAAGTGAAAGTCGCTCAGTCATGACCAACTCTTTGCAGCCTCATGAACTGTAGCCTGCCAGGCTCCCCTGTCCATGGAATTCTCCAGGCAAGAATACTGGAGTGGGTTGCCATTCCCTTCTTCAGAGGGTCTTCCTGACCCAGGGATTGAACCTGGTTCTCCTGCATTGCAGGCAGATTCTTTACCATCTGAGCCAGCTGGGCAGCCCAAAGATTAAATATGAGAGGCACAATCAGCTGTCAGAATATCTTACAGTCTTAAGATTTTTCCACCCCTCTTTCGTTTGCAGTATAATTTATTACAGAACAAATGAGTGATGGAATTTCTCATAATGGGAAGGGTTCCTGAAAAGCAGTGGTGATGATAGGATAAAGTCATATTTATAGCATGCTTAGTATCAGGCAGCAGGCTAAGAATAAGACACACTCCCTGGTTCCTTAATCTAGTGCTCCTTGCAGTGCTCTGAGGAAGGGACCCCCAGGACTCACTGTCCTGGCGAGGAAACCAAGACTGAGGAATATCAGCTTGCCAAACAAAGGTGGTCCAATTAGTGCAGAAAGAGGATTCAGATTCAAGTGAATCTGATTTCAGTACCTGCTCTCTATTTTTTCTTTTCACTCTAATTTTATTTTTACAATTTCCATATGGTAAAATTGACCTTTTTTTTGTTTGCTGCAGAGCTCTATGTTTTTCCTACATATATATAGATGCATGTAACCATCCCCACAGTCTGAATATAGAATTGTTCATTATCCAAAAAAACTTCCTTAAGCTAGTCCTTTATAGTCACCCCCACCCCCACCCCCGGCAGCCACCGTCTGTTCTGTGTCTTTACAGTCGGTCTTTTTGACAATAGGGTCTGAACAGTCGTATGGTACGTGGTATTTCTGGAAAGGTTATGTAAAATTGTTTGCTTGCTGTATTTTGAAGCTCTTTCAGTGCATTTGCCTTCAGGATTGTTGTCGTCTTGGTGAATTGGCTCCTTTATCTTTATGTCACGTCCCTCTTTATCCCTTGCAATTGTCTTTACCTTGATGTTTACTTTCATTGTAATCAAAGCCACTCTAGCTTTCTTTTGATTAGTATTTGCATGGTATATCTTTTTCTACCTTTTTACTTTTAACTATTTGAAGTGAGTGTCTTACAGATAACTTACGGTTGGGTCATGCGTTTTTATATACTCTGATAATATCTGTCTTTAATTGGTATGCTTAGACCATTTATATTATTAAATAAAATATAATAAATATAATAATAATATAATATATGTCTGGATTAGGACCACAGTTGTGTGATTTGCTTTTCTGTCTGTTTCCTTTGCTGTTTTTTTGGCTGTTTTTTGTTTTTTCCTGTTTCCTCTTTCCTTCATACTTTGGGCTATTTGGATGTTTCAGTATCCATTTTATTATGAAATTATATTTTTATACAGTTTATATATGGGGAGGGGTTGCTCTAGGAATTGCATTTTTTTTTTAGTGTATTTAAAACCAGTATTTTCCCACTTGAAATATAGAAACTATTATCATACAGCTCTCCCCTTTATGTGATAGTTATCATATATATTATGTATATATATGTTAAAAAACCACTACCAGACAATGAATAATTATTTTACAATTTTTTCATAATACAGTTTTTCCTTTCAACCCTTAAATAAATTTTCAGGACTCAGGAAGTGTAGAATAGTCCGCCATATTTACCTAACGTTTACCATTTCTGTCGCTCTCCTTTCATTTCCCTCTGGTACAGTCTCTCTTGTCTCTGAATTTCTTTTAGCATCATTTTAGATCTGATGGCAGTGAAAGCGTCTTAGTATGTGTCATGTGTGTGTTTCATTTTCACTGTTGTTCCTGAAGGGTACTCTCATTGGACATAGATTCTGGGCTGATGGTTCTTTGCTTCCAGCAGTTTTTAAACACGGCCCCAGTGTCGTCGGGCCTAAATGGCTTCTAATGAGAAATCTAACATTCATTCAAACTCTTGTTCCTGTGTTGACTCTGTATTACTTCTTTCTGTCTGTGCTTTCAAGAACTTTTCTTTTTTTCTAACTTTAAACAGTTTGATTATGATATGTCTGAGTATGGCTGTCTTTGTTTTGCTGAGTGTATTTGTTTCCTATGGCTATCATGAAAACATTATCACAAAGTGGGTGATGGAACTCACCTTCTTAGAGCTCTGGAGACTAGAGGTCTGAACGGAAGCAAGGAGTCCCCTCCCAGGACTCTGAGCGGAGGAGTCATTCTTCCCTCCTCCGCATTCTGAGGAGCGTAGACTCTCCTCTACTTCTGTACCTTGTGGCCACACTCTTTGTTTTCTTTCTCCATCGTCACATTGCCTTCTCCCCGGCATTTCTCAGGTCCCTCACCAGATCCCCATTTTTCTGTTTTAAGGTCACGTATCATAGGATGTAGTGCCCACTCAAACATCATCTCAGTATCCTTAATTATATCTGCAAAGACTCTTCCCAAATAACGTGACAGTCACAGATTCCAGAAATTAGGACAAGGACATAACTCTTTGGGAGCCTCCATTCAGCTTATTACACTGAACTTCTTGAATCTGGATTTTTCTGTCATCAAATTTGTGAAGTTTTCAGCCTTTATTTCTTCAAGTATGCTTTTCGGCGCTATGTACTTGGCTCTCCCTCTGGGACTTTGGATGCCCCCATTGGATCTGTTGTCATCTCATAGATCCCTAGGGGTCTGTTCATTGCTTTTCTCACTTGATTTCCTCTGTCAGCTCCATTTTGCTGTTTAGCTCATTCTCATTCTGTATTTTTTTAAATTTTAGTTAATTTTATTTTTTAATTCTAAAACTATCATTTGACTCTTCTTTATTATCTTATGTTTCTTTGCTGAGAACTTCTATTGAATGTTTTTTTTTCCAAGTGTTAACGGTTTCTTGTTGAAACATTTATATAATAGTTGCTTTAAAATTGTGAGATAATTTCATCATTTGTGTCCTCTATTAATAGGTATCAACCACTGCTGTCTTTTCTCTTGGAAGTTTTAATTTTCTCAGTTTTTCATATGCATAGTGATTTGGGGTTGTATCTTGAGCATTTTTAATGATATGAAACACCTGGTCTATGTAAATCCTGTTGAGAACGTTGGTACTTTGATTTTAGCAGGCAACATAATGAGGTTTATGCCGCAGCTTCAGCCTGCCTCCTGCGTGCTTTCATTCTGATGTCAGTTAAATCCTCGAAGCCACTGCAGTGTTACTGAGATGCGTCCCACACATGTGCCACCCAGTCATCCCTGTACGGCCTGGACAGCAGGCTGTGTGTTCATCTCTCAACATCTTAGCATTGGTCGGGATCAGCCATGGCTGTGTAGATCAGGCTGTAAGCCCAGGATCTCATAAACAGCTTTGAGGTCATCTTCCTGAATTCCTCCGTCTTCGCTCTCCTGGGATTCCCTTTTCCATCTTCGCTCTCCTGGGATTCCCTTTTCCGTCTCTCCAGTCAGAAAGCTGCAAGTTTGCTGTGTCATGCGTTTCCGTGACTGTGCGTGTACTGGGAACGGCAGGACAGAAGGATAAAAGAAACAGTTTTGCCCCCTCCTCTTGGGCTGATCACAGCTGCCCTCTTAGAGTGGAAGTCGCCTCTCAGAGGTGTAAGCCCCATCAGGCCGTGCCGCTGAGGTCCCTGCGGCCACCGTGGGATTGCCCAGAGGTCAGAGAGATGAAGAGGAAGACAGGGACAAGGCTTGCCCCGCACACTCTGGGCACTCGGGTTCCCTTTCCTGCTCCTTGAGTGGGAAGGAGTGTCTTCTCCTGGAGCTCTGTACATCCTCACTGTCCAGTTGGGCTCTAGGCTGCCCTGCGTGCCAGTTCGGAAATACCCGGAGGGGCAGAACATGGTAACTTTACCAACAATTCACTGATGCTCCAATTCAAGTCTTTTTTCCCAGTTAGCCTGTAATTTACCTTGCAGTTCTCAGATATTTGTTCCATGCCTTCTATCCAGATTTTATAGTTGCATTTGGTGAAAGAGACAGGGCAAGTGTGTTTACTCCAACTTCACACTGTCCCCGCGTCCTCAACTCCGCTCTGCCTTGCCTTTCATCCTTTAGAAGTGGTGGGGTGGCAGCTACTCCTGCGAAGACTGAAGGCTCTGCTCTGACCGATAGAGTGTGCGCGCCAGGGTCTCGGGCTGCCGCTGCCCAGCAGCGGTACTTTGTCCTCATTCTCTTTGGTGTTTGGGCATTGTGACCTGGTGGGCACCAACACCACTGGCAATTGTGCTATGAAATTAATACTTCTGTGCAGTCTGAAGGTGCATTTTGGGTATTGTTTTTAAGACCAGGAAGGTCATCTTTTTGCATTGTGTTTTCACTGTAGGGTAATCATGCTGTATTATCACACTATCCTAGGTTTGCCCAAAGGACCAGCCAAAACCTCGCCTCAAGTCACACATACGAGAGTGTAAGTAATGAAGGCCTTCCTGGGCAGTGCCCCCAAGGAGCAGATTATCGTGCTAAAATGGAGCTCCCAGTCCTTACTTCACACATTCTGCTCAAAATTTCTTCATAAGGTGTTAATGAAGCCCTTGTGAGGGCTTTTCCTTGTTGCCTCTTTAATCTTTTAAGATAAGCATTGTCTCACTTCCATTAGGAAGATAGTAAAGGATCCGAATTCCCTTGGAACTGCTTCTGTTTGCTGTCTTTGCTCTCTTTCCTCCCGTCCTCCGAGGGACTTCAGACAAGTTCTCATCTCAGCCGCCCCAGGGGCTGAGCTCTTGGCGAGGTCACCAGAGACCTCCCCATGACTGACTGGTCCTGCAGAGCTCAGTGCTCACCCGACCTGGTCAGCAGCTGAGAGTCGGTCACCTCTCCTGTCCGCACACGTGCTTTCAGACACCGCTCCCTTCCAGCTCTCCGCTGCTCTCTTCTGCACCCCTTTGCTGACCTCTTCTCCTCCACCGGCCTCTCAGTGTTGGAGACCCCGGGAGTCGGGCCTCAGATTTCTCTGCCCACATTCTTTCCTGTCTGGTCTTTTGGTCTTGTATCATGAAATACCACTCAGACTCTGAGCATTTACAAGGTGTTTCCAGTCCATACCCCTTCCCCCCGCGCAGAACTCACATTTCCATCTTCCACTTCACATCTCCCCGTGCTTTCTTTCAGCCTCAGCTCCCGATTTGCTCCTCCTGCTGTCTTCCCGGTTCTGCAGATGACCACTGTTTCAGTTGCTCAGGTCAAAGACCTTGGGGAAACTGTGCTTGACCTCTGCCATTTTACCTCTGCCTTCAAAATTTGTCTGTTATCCAGCCACTTCCTGCCACCTCCCCTTTACTTCCCGTGCAAGCTGCATCAGATGGATACTGTGGTGGCCGCCTGCAGGGCTGCCCTTTTCCAGCCTCCGCCTCCCTCTCCACCCCCACCCCGTCATACGATCTGTTCTCGGAACAGAAACCAGAGCAGTCTTTTTTTAAAAGCAAAGTTTATGTTACTCATCGCTCTAAAGCCACCTGTGGTTCTCTGACTCCACTTTACTCAGTAAAAGCCTGAGAAGCCCTCTGACCTCTCCCATGGCCTCTGCGCTGTGCGGCCGGCCGGCCCCTCCCTTGGCCTACTCTGCCTCAGCTGCACTGGCTCTGCCTGCTTCAGAGCGCATGACCCGTGTCCCCTCAGATAATCGCAGGACCCACAGGGCTCTGGACCGTGTCCCCAGTGGTGAGGCATTCTCCTGACCAGGTCTGACAGATACGCTTTTTTGTACTTAATGGTTTTGCCTCTTTGAGGCCAAGGTTTTATATTCAGTGTGAGACAGGAGACTCTGGACTAAGCCATACATTCCTGGTTTTTGGTTTTTTTTAAGCAATATATTTTATTTAAGTTTACATTTTATATGAGAATTAAGGTGCAGGGGGCATGAAACCAGGCAGAAAAGCAGTAGGTTTTGTAAGGGGATATTACCTTAAAAACTAAAATCATTAAACTAAAACTAATCATTAGTTTTAAATCATTAAATCATTTAAATCATTAAACTAAAACTAATCATTAGTAATTCTTATCTGATTGAGAATATATGGTTCTTGGGATAGTGCCACTGGAAGGCTAGGAATCAAAATCATAAAAGCTTAGAAAGTTTATTTGAACGTGTGCTCTGCTCTCCTCAGTTTCTGGAACATTCAAATGCAGTATTACTGCAGCCAGTTAGCCTGCAGACCGTTCCAGTAACACCATCAAACCAGAGACTGCCACCTCTGCCCAGCAATCATCCAGGTACTTAAGACCTTATTATTTGCACCAAATAAGGAAATTTATGAGAATAGATGGGTCTGCTAGAGATTTACTGGTAACTAAAAACAGACTGTTGTTGTCATCTATCACTAAGTCATGTGCAACTCTGCAACCCCATGGACTGTAGCCCGTCGGGTTCCTCTGTCCATGGGGATTCCCAGGCAAGAATATCGGAGTGGGTTGCCATGCCCTTCTCCAGGGGATCTTTCCGATCCAGGCACATCTCCTGCATTGGCAAGTGGATTCTTGATCACTGAGCCGTAAGGGAAGCCCCGGACTGACGTCAGGAGACTGGGGATGCTTGTGTTGCCCTGAAGACTGTTCTGAGTGCTGCGGTGAATGAACCTTTAGTCTGAGTCTGGCCGTCTGTAGACTTGCTGTGCCCGGCAACAGCACAGAGGCACCAGCGTGCTTGCTTCTGGTTGTCAGGGGTCCGTTAGCATCTTGTTTGAAGTCGGAGTCATAGACAGAGTGCTACTTGTGTGCATCTCCCCAAAAAGCACAATGTGTTTCTTTTTGTTGCCTACAGCGATGACGAGGAATGACCTCCAGCCCCCCAGTTACTGTGAAGTAATGGAGTTTGACCCCTTAGCTCCTGCCGTCACCACAGAGTAAGTCATTTACAAAAGGGTCATTCTTTTGTCTTGGTTCCCTTTGGTAGCAGAGCTCACAGGATTTGGTTATACATTTAACTTTGTTTAGGCCTTTGCAGAAATCAATGACCAAATATAAAAGTGACTTAGGAGATTTTGTGGTGGTTGTTGCTCTTAACGTTGGTCTTGTCATTCTTGACCTTGTGACTTAAAAACACTGGGGTTGCACACTAAGAAATAAGCAGAACCATCATGTGCATGAGTGTATTCCTTATAGATGCCTTGGAAGAAAGTCAGATTCTCACCAGCTCGAGAAGGGCACTATTCACTGATTGATGACTTAAGTACCATGTTCATGGGATATTTTAGTTGTTCTTTGACTGATGCCAGAGAAAACTTACATAGGAACTTGTTTTTAGTCTTCACCACCTATGACAACAGTGTGCTTATTAATGTAAAAATCACTTTTTAACTCGGGATCCTTAAAGCAACATTATTTTGTGATTTCATATTGGTCAAGTGTATATAAATATTTATGGGATGGTAGCCTCATTAGTGGAGTAGGAAATGGCAACCCACTCCAGTATTCTTGCCTGGAGAATTCCATGGACAGAGGTGCCTGGTGAGCTACAGTTCGTGGGGTCACAGAGTCAGACACAACTGAGCATGCACACAGAGGCTCATTAGTTTTAATATATTTTGACTAACTGAAACTTACCTCAAAATTGTTTAAAATGATTCAAGCATTTTTATAGAAATCATTGTTTAGAAACTAGCAGCCTGCAGGCTGTATCTTGCCTGCAACTGTTTTGTTTGACCTATGTGAATTTTAAATATGCACGTAAAAATTAATTGCCAAGTTAAAAGGTAGGATATTTCACTATCTGAACCTCTGGATGCTTGATATGACAACAGTGCCAGGCCTGCATTTTTACATGCTAGCAATAGTTTGGGGCTGCGCTCAGTTCACCAGGCCCCCCACATACCTTCATCTGATCTGCCTGACATGTGTAGGCATTTGAGGTTTTGACCCGAACCCCCTGGTTCAGACCCTCAGTGTAGTGATGTTTTGGAATGATTTATAAGTCAATGAAGCGGGCATGCAGAACCTGTCTCATCTTAAAGAGTCAGCCACTATACAGTCCCAGGCTTATTATGATAAGCTTAGGAGTTCATTAAATATTTTTTCCTAACAGGATTGTGAAACTTTCATTCTGTTCAATAAAATATCACTGAATATGTTAGTGGTAGATGTGGTGCTGCAGGAGATATTAAAGGTAAGAAATAGCAAGAAGCTGGAGAGCTGAAGTTTTGGAACTCCCTACCACTTTGAAAGCTCATGACACTTTCAGACTGGTGCTGGAGAAGACTTTTGAGAGTCCTTTGGACTGCAAGGAGATCAAACCAGTCAATTCTAAAGGAAATCAACCCTGAATATTCATTGGAAGGACTGATGCTGAAGCTGAATCCCCAAAACTTTGGCCACCTGATGCAAAGAGCTGACTCACTGGAAAAGACCCTGATGCTGGGAAAGATTGAGGACAGGAGGAGAAGGCAGGAGAGGATGAGATGGTTACATAGAATCACCAACTCAATGGATATGAACTTGAGCAAACTGTGGGAGATTCTGGAGGATAGGGAAGCCTGCATGCTGCAGTCCATGGGGTCACAAAGAGTTGGACATGACTTAAGGACTGAAGAAGCACCACCACCACTATAATTCTTACTTTCTGGGTGGTAGCATGTCTCAGTCTCTTTAAATGTTCCATGAGGTCCAGGGAACTTCTCGCTAAGGAAAAGCATAAAGTCTTACATGAAAGTTCTGGGATTATGACATCACCGGTTGTCCATGAACCCCAGGTTAAGAATTTCTACTCCAGCAGAACATATAGTACTTATGAATATACATATACATACACAATTCACTCATTTGACAAATGACCGAAAATCAACTATGTACAAGGGAAAATGGTGCCTAGTTTATCATGTTGAACCTTACGGAGGGCAAATCTAATAAGGAGCCAGAAATTAAATCAGCAAGCAAACATGTATTTGCAGTTTGTGTTAACAGTATGAAAGATACTGACTTGACAATATATAACAGAAAGCCTGAGAAGTGACATTCAAATTAAGACCTACAGTTTTTAGTGTAGTGACAAGTTTGGGAATCAGTGTTGCAGGCCCAGTGGGGGAGAGAAATGGAAAAGTCAAGAGAAAAGAGAATAACAGGAAACCTGTATTACCAGATATGGAAATCTCAGTTTGGAAACAAAAAGAAGGGAGTGCACAACTGTGATGAACATTGCTGAAAACAGACAAGGACTCAACATTAGATAATGGACTAAGTAACAGATCATCATGAGTGATTCAGTAGAAGTTGACAGGGACAGAGGCAAATTTCAGTGCATTAAAAAGGGATGAAGAAGACAGTGCACAGGTAACTTACAAAGAAACTTAAAACACGAAGGGTTTGGGGAAAGTGGTCTGGCAGCTAGAATATTACTGAGGCAATTAAGTAGACATGGGATAAAGGACTGTATTATTTTATAAAATAGGAAATGCTGGAACATCTGTGAATCCTGAGGTAGAGAATAAGAAATTGAAGATTCAGGGAGGGAGACTGAGTGAAGTTGTTTAAGAAGCCAGGGGTCAATAGATAGGATCATAAAAGTAGATGATGGTGCAGATGAAAACAGACTTGGAAGATTTGATGATGGGAACATCAGGTTTCCACGTAAAGACATTTAATTTATTAAGATATGAGGTTTTTCTGACTGAGAGGAGGGGCGTCAGATTTGAGTAGAGTGAAGGAGGAAAATGAAAGACAAAACAGAGAAACAGAATTTCTGGACCACACTGGCACTTCTTGAAGTTGGTGATTATGTCTTCAAAGTGCTTTTTCTATGAAATATTTTTTCTTAGTCATGTATTGCTATACTGTGTATATTAATGCCATATTTGTAGATATAGATATTTTCTATCTGTAGACATATGCTAAGACAAATGAAGACTATCACAGAAAAATGACTATGTACAAAGTACAAAGATGACTGGTTAAATAAGCTAGAATATTAATTTCTAATGTTTTTAAGCCAGGGAAAGCTGAACAAATTTGCTTTTTTTTTTAAAGCAGAAAGCAAGCTGTCCAAATTTGAGCCATATTTCTCATTAAATTCTAAGACGGTTATATAAGATAAATATTTGTAAGATGCATGGGAACAGCAGCATTAGGATCTAAAATAGTTTTTATAATGTAAGCTTCAGGGCAGAGACCTTTGTTTTTATTTATTGATATAGCCTCAGCACCTACAATGGCACCAGATTTTTGCTTTAAGATGGCAGTTAAAAGCCAAAATAGTACATTGAAATTGACCTGTAACCATATTTATCAATTTACCATGATGGCGTGTTTGTTTCAGAGCTATTTATGAAGACATTGATGTTCACCACCACAAAGGAGCTCAAAGTCACAGTGATTGTTGAGGTAAAGACTTCAACTCACACACCTTACATCCCACACGATTTTAGTGTAACTGTCACTTTCTACATTTATTATTTACATTTTGTAAGGGCCGTCTCAGTCTGGCAGTTTGATGAGTGAAGTATTACACAAGTTCCTATGGCACTCAAATTGTAATGATCAATGAGATAGATTCTTTGTGACCATGTTAGCTAAAAATTATAAATCTTGGGAATGCAGAAATTATTTATGGTATAAAAATATTAATGCTAACAAAAACAGCTGATCAATAAAAAATCTTTAGCACTAGAATCAGATTTGTCTTCTATGTGCAGTTAATACTTGCTGACTGGGACTGGTAGAACCCATTTACCATTGGACTGGTAGACCAATCCATTTGTAGGTTGGTCTGGATTCTGTTGCTTTACTGATCATTCCATTTATTTACTAATAAATGCACACAGCCACCAGTAACCTGTTAACCATATTTGCTCCCTCCACACTTCCCTCGTGGAAGCAGCATGCACTACTTTCCCACCTTTCCTCTACTTGACTGTGGCTGCCTAGTTATCAAGGGCTGGGGAAAGGGGGAAAGGATGGAGATCATTGACTCTTCTTTTATTCCAGGTGGAAACGGATGACTGGTTCACTGGCAGCGTTATGGGTGCCAATTTTCCAAAAGGGGGACCCTGTCCAGCTTTGAGACCCAGAAGTGAAGACCTTCCCAAACCTCAAAACCACAGTGGAACTTTTTCCTCTGCATTAACGAGGTTTAGACAGAAGAGTCACAGTTCGAGAGTTACATATGTGGTTTCTGACAGCAGCTTGAGCTTTATCTTGGAAGAACTTGGTTGTGACATATATTCCCTTAAAACTTAGGCAGAACGAAAGTTGATGGTACTTAGGCCAACCAGGTTAAGTGCAGCACCTTGTGTTTTCACAGGCCTTCCTACATTTAGAATCATCACAGGAGATGGGGCAAGAGTGGATGAAGACTGTTTCAGGACAAAATAACTGTTAGTAAATGAAAGCACGACTGTATTATTCAGGAAGAATACTTGAGTGCCTTTATTTAACTAAAGTTGAATGTAAAAGTCAATTTGCACTTCTTTATAAATAACACTCTTTTTTAGAATTATAAGTTGTGAAAGCTTTGATGATTGTAGTTCAACTGTATTTCAGGTACCCTCAAGAGGTCACTGGATTCTACATTGGTTGCCTTTAAATACAATTCTTTGTAACACTAAATGGTCGTTTTTGTCTTTTTGGAAGAAAGTCTACTGGAAAACATTCAGGATAACTTGTACTTTCCTTTGTCATAAATTATAATGACAAATGAACTACTATTAAAACAGTTCAAGAACTTTTTTTTTTTTTTTCAGAAGAACTGATGTTAGTAAATCTTCACAATCCCACTTATAATTTAAAATCGGGGGACTTGGAATTATCACAAGAAATGCTGGAAGCCTACTAGATATACTTAATGCATTTTATTTAAATTTCATGGTACCAGAATTTCAAAGTACTTATTTAGTACTCTGAATGTAAAAAAGCTCTAGATTTGAAAGGGAAAATACAGTCAGATTTGAAATCAAAATGTAGTCTTTGGGTAAGCTGTTAGGGCTCAGTGATTACTCTTTCATTTTGAGCTTTTAAAATAGTGTTTGTAATGAAAATAACCATTTGAGAAATAATAATAAAAAGTTTATTGCTACATGTACGAAGTGCTGATAACCTAAAAGGGGAGCTGAACCATCAAATTTCTGCCAACATACATGGTTTTGAACTGTCATACATTCTAAGTAGGATAAATGAGTTGGGAAGAAAAGAACCATCAGTACATAACATTTAAAACAGAAGGCTTCATATTATTTTAAATACTTCTCTGAGATGACAAGGTACATGATTTTTTAAAAGTCACAAATTTGAAGGAGGACTTAATTGGTGATTTGAACTATAGCCTGGGAGTGGCAACTTATGCCCCTCCTTTGCTTCAAAAAAAGTGTAAGAAAGAGTGATGAGATCAACATTCACCATTCTTGGATCTTCAGCAAATTCAGGATCAATGTAGAAAAATACTGGCATATCTACTTCCTCTTGTGGATTAAGCCTTTGTTCTTCAAAGCAGAAGCACTAAAAGTTATAGAAAAGTATTCATTAATTAGTATTTCTATTCTGCTACCTAGAATAGAAACTATGCTTCATTTATTGGCTTTAATAAGCATACTGTTAATTATAATCTTTAAATTCTATGATAGGATAACAGCATCTTTCATCTCTTGAGTTTTGCTTTTAAAGATCAAGAATCAAATTCTTCTAATCTTAAAAAAAAGGATATCCGTATAGTTTGGCTCTCAACCTCTGCATAATTATTATAAGCAATGAAAAAACAGTTTGAAGTTTAAAATAAATGAACTTTGAAAAATTTGTATCTTCTAAAAAAACACTGCAATAAATTTAGTACCAAACAATCTCATGTACTTTTATCACATTCTATAACATTTGCCTTTAGTTATACCTGTATTTTATTGAAGTACTGTCCAGCTTCAAATGGTACAACATTGTATGTAGAAATTCCGATTACTGGTTTGTCAGTAGGATTCTTAGCTTTATAAAATGCCAGTGCTGTCTCTCCTGGCACTACCTGTTTTAAGGAAAATACACATTATCAACACTTTTAAATCTTACAAATCTGCATTCCATAGTAAATTAGTCATTATTTTCATTTCAAACCATAATACCTAACCTAATTTTAACAGTCAGCAAAATAAATTGTGAATGCTACCCAAGAATATTTGATCTTCAAATGTTACTTGCATGTCAGTGGAGAACCATTGCTCTATTACACATACTTATTACGGACTGTTCTCTTGTATGTCTGAAGTCTTCAAGTGATAATCTGCAGATGAAGTTATTTAAAATGTGTCCAAGAACAGCCAAGTCTAACTTCTTAACACTTATCCCTGAATATTATATAAATTGATTAAAGATTCTTCTTAGAAAAAGGCTTCCCTTTTCTGGTGACCCAGACGGTAAAGAATTTGCCTGCAGTGCAGGAGACCTGGATTTGATCCCTGGGTTGGAAAGATCCCCTGGAGAGAGAAATGACTACCCACTCTAGTATTCTTGCTTGGAGAATTCCATGGACAGAGCGGCATGGCTGGCTACATGCAGTCCACGGGGCTGCAAAGAGTTGGACATGACTGAGCGACTTTCATTTCACTTTTTAGAGAACGTTACCAATCTTAAACTTAGAACCACAGTCTTTAACACCCTCAATCACTGAAGAGATTCAGTCAGGATTGCTAACCTGGGAAAGCACTAACATTCATAGTTTTCCAATAAGAGTTACAATTAAACTTTTCCGGCTATTCCTCAGTTCATGAGGTAATTTCAGTTAAATCCTCTAGGTAAGACATTAGGCAACTTTTAAGGTGCATAGTCTTTCTGAGCTAGAATATAACTTTTTAGCATGATTACTTCAAAAATCCTTAAATTTATTTTAAGAGAGGGCTATTTTGATGTAAATCAGCAAACTACTTTCCAGTGTAACCAATGTTTTTCAACAGTTTGCTATATTATCTCTACCTGGGGTAAATAAGTTTAACTGCCAGTCACTCAGTTGTGTCTCACTCTTTGAAATCCCAGTGACTGTAGCCCGCCAGGCTCCTCTGTTCATGGGATTCTCCAGGCAAGAAAGAATACCAGAGTGGGAAGCCATTCCCTTCTTCAGGGGATCTTCCCGACCCAAGGATCAAGCCCGGGTCTCCTGCATTGCAGACATATTTTTTAATGTCTGATACACCAGGACAGCTGTTCCTACTCTTAAGACTGGTGACCAGAGAACTTTTTAGTGAACTCTTAATATGATTCTAATAAAAATAAGACATTTCCCATTGCTCCAAAGTGACTTTTATTATGATGCCATGTAACTTAAAAGAATATTTTGTTACATTAGGGGTAGTGCACTGTCAAAAAGTAGTCTGTGGGAATGAAAGAATTACAGTAATGGAGTCTGTCAGTATCTTGAAATTAAGTTTAGATGAGTGTTTCCTAAGTTGTGAAACAGTAAGTGATGAAAGAATCAATCTTTAAATTGGAAAAAACAATCTTTTAAGCATTGCTATAAGCACTTACATATATTTCTGTTTGCTGAGGTCTAAAGTTCCACTGGAGACTTGCATGCACATCTGCATTAAAGGTGATTTTAATGATGCGATCCTTAACAGGTACCATGTTTTCAATCTGGTCTGATGCATGACCTGCTGCTGCTGATCCTCCAAGTCCAGTAGTCTAGAAAAAGATAACAAGGCATAATATGCTAAACAAAAGCACAGTAGTTTTAGGTGCTGATGACCTATTTACTGGATGAAACGAAATCTAAAAACAATAATCCAGTAGCAGCAAGGTATACATACTATCACTGACCATTTTCCTATGAATGTGCTAATGATTTGACCACGTTTTGGGTGTCAAGGGTCTATCTATGTTAAAGTCATATTTTTCTGTAATCACCTGGTTGTCAAAATGATCAAAAATGAATCATGTGAAAGAGAATGGATTCTCCACTGATAACAGAGCTCTGAATTTTTAGCTGAACTTTTCACTAAACATCTTAGTTTATGATGTTTTTGCTATTGCTAGTATTTCATAACTATTATTAATAGAAATAAAATATACCCACAATGCTGTCATTTCAATAAAACTATTTAATTCCATTTTCCACATTCTTTTCTGGTCCTTTTCTGTATCATAACTTTTAGTGTAGATTAATTTGTAGATTCACTTCTATAGTCTGCTTTCCTCAAGCATCGTTAAGTATTTTGCCATGTTGGTAAAATGTTTCTGTAAATGTTTTCTGTATTTTTTGGTACTGTACAGCTTTTACGTAGGTATCATCAGTTAATCAGAGAACCTGATCTCTTTGGCCACTCAATGGACTAATCATAAGGCATCTGGATAATCTGTGTCTGACACTTCTTGCCTATCTTCATTGCTGTTACTTATTTCCTTATCAGAGATGCTTAAAAAAAAATCCTTACTTCCAGGATCATCATTCTTCTGATGCTTGAGGTTGCCAGAATTCTGGTCTCCGGATAATTAATCTGTTACTATACTGGGAAAAAAATACCAAATTTGAGGCTATGGAAGACTCCCAGCAAAACACAGTACTACTACCTTAGCTTGTTAAACAAGTCAACCAGCTTCACTAAACTGCCACGCATTATGAAACTACATTACAACCCTATAAGACACATCAGAGGACAAGCCTTTATACCCTTATTTAATCAGAGAGCAAGCCTATTCTTGTGTTCAAGAAGGCTACGTTTTAAGATGTAGCTTATTTCTGAAGAACCTGAGTCACTTGAATGTTTTCTTTCTGATAGTCTTTGAATACAGTCTTCAAATTAGTAAGTGGTAATTTGCAAAATTAAACAAGAATAGAAAAAGGCCCTGAAAAGAAAATGTCCTGTGCTCCAGTCTAGTTCTGTCACTAAGTAGCTCCCAAAACTAAGTTTTACTTTCTTTGGGCTACACTTTCTATACTCATAAAATGAGCTTGGTGTATGAAGTGGTTTACATAATCCCTTATTTTTGGCTCTAAAGTTCTGTGATTCCAAAAATTAAAGGAGATGTTCTCTTGGAAATGTCACTACTGAACATCCAACTGTGATTTAAGTTTAGGATTGCAAACCACAATAGATTTTTACTTTCCTGCCCTGCACTTTCACCCATGTGAATGAAATTTGTCATTCATTTCTGTTTGGGGCAGGGTTTCTCAATCTTGGCACTAACGACAGTTTGGATAGGATAATTCTTTGGTTTTTTTTGGTGGGGGGAGGAGTCTATTCTCTGCAGTGCTGGACATTTAGCAGCATCCCTTAACCTCTACCCACTAGATAGCACCCTCCCCCTTCACCTCCCAGGTTGTGGCAACTAAAATGTCTTTAGATATTGTTAAATATTCCCTGGAAAATAAAATCAACCACCCACCTCCCCCTGTCCATGCCCCGTGGTTTAGGGACATCTACACTAGATGTTTTGGATTCAGTTCTGTTTATGATTTCATCAATGGTAGTTTTGGGATTCATGCTTGGTCCAGGCTAGCTTGTGATGAACATTAACTCACATTCTTCACTCATCCTCCAGCAATCAAGCCACTGCCCCTTCCCATATAAATGCTGATATTAAGAGACTAAAAAGTCCTTTAGATTCCAGTTTCATTATTATTGGTGATTCCGATGTACAACAAAGTTTGGGAACCCTCTATTACTCATTTAGTGAATGTGTAGCTCTCATTCACGGCATGGTTTTAAAACAGAAATTCCTGGACCCTACCCAGGTCTCCTAATCAGAATCTCTGAGGTAGGGAAACCCTGATACGTTTAAGAATCTCCACAGGTGACCTAAGGCCCAAAGCATCTTAAGAACTTGGCAGAACATGTATATGTAACAGGTGAAGTAGCCCTGTGCCTGCGGTTCTCAAACATTAGTCTGCATCAAGATCTACTAGGGACTTACTAAAATACACGTTGCTGGCTCCCCAGAGTTCCTGATTATACAGTTCTGGAGTTGGAGCCAACAATCTACTCAACTTGCCCTCTCAGGTAATGATGCTGCTGCTCCTGGGAGGGTCTGCACTTTGAAAACCATTGCACTAGAGTTTCTGATCTAAAAGGGAGCCTGGCGGAAGGACATTACAGTTTCATATTAAAAAGGAGAAAAGCTTCGAAGTCCTAAATCATCTATACAAAGTCCTAAATCACAGTAGTTTGTACAGATAAAAAGCTCCTCCCAGTTTAAGCAGAAGTAGCAAGCAAACTCCCGTTTCCAGGGTTAAGCTTTGCACAGAACCTGTATGTGTTTCAGAGGGAATGAACATAAATATATTTTAAAAGCAGGCAGACGTGTGAGCAGCAGGAGATTGCTGAATACAGAAGTGTAGGCTGCCGACCTTTCGGGTGGTAGCTCTGAGATCAGGGAATTTCACTCGGCAGTGGGGTATGGGCAAGAACACAAGAACTCGAGTTGGGCCGGCAGCTCTGTCACTAGCTTTCTTGATGAACTTCAAGGCCCGTTTTCCTCTGGGAGGTAATATTCGGACAGTCCTCCCACCGGGTCCCGCGGAGCCTCGCGGTCTACGGAGCCGCCCCGGCCCTCCGCCCTTCCAGAAGGGCCGCCCGGCGGGCCGCGCCAGCCCTACCTGGCAGTAGAGCCGGTAAAGGGGCACGGCGGCGTAGGACGCGCCCAGCATGCCCACCGCCGCCGCGGCCACGTAGGTAAGGACCGTCTTGTTCCGCCGCCGCCAGTCCTCCTCCTGCGAGCGCGTATAGGGGTTCGTGCTCTTCGGCCGCCGAAGCGGCTGCTCCGCCGGGCTCGGGCGCCTCCATGCCCCGAGCCGCCTCAGCCCCTGCTCAGTACCCGCCGGTCCGCTCCTCCCCGGCCTGAGACACGGCTCTGCCCTCTCGGCAGCCCGGGTTGGGCGCCCAACGTGGCTCCAAGGCCACCCGCAGAAAACGACGCGTCTCCAAGCCGGAGGCCAGAGCCCTCCCATGACGCCCAGAAAGCGCGCCCGCCTGTGAGGGGCAGGGGGGCGGATCTCGCGAGGCCTCCTTGGTCTCGCGAGCTCTGGGTTGAGCCCGCCGCTGCCTAGGCTACGGGTCTCCTCAGGTAGCCGCTTTTGTGGTCGGGCTAGGGAGGCCGGGTGGCCGGGTAAGTTCGCGTTTTTGTTAATAACTGTTCCTCCCACTTCGCTTCCCTCCAGTATTCGTTTAACTTACTTTCAGGAAAATGCCTCGCTCTCCTCTGCGTGCACGCCATCATCACATGGGCTTGTGTCCCTGAAATTTCCAGCCCCCAGCAGGCTTTGTCTCGCCGTGGCGTCCGCCCGCGGCCGTATTCCGCGCGGGCCCTTGGTGGCCGGTCCTCTATCAGTGTCCTGGGTTTGGGCTCACATTATCTCCCGGGAAGCCTTCCTGTGTCATCACAGTCCGCTTGGACCCACGCGCACCTTTGTTTTCTCAGCCCCTGGGAATCGGCTTCTGTTGGTCTCCTGTCCGTTAACCGCTTGCCCAGTGAAAGATTAACCAGTTCTGGGGCGGGAGAGACGTCGTCAGACTGGTTTTTGAGAGGATGGTGACCGGGATGTGAGGATCATTTAAGGAGGGGTTGAAGGGAATGGACTGCTTATCTTGAAAAATAAACGCACGGGGGATGTAATAGCTTTTTTCAGTTGTCCTACAGACAATCGGCGGACGGCATAGCCGATTTTGCCGTAATGAAACGAAGCATCTTGCAAGGAACTATAAGAGATCAGATTCCGAGGTTACACAGGTCTAGATTCATACCCGGGTCCTCACTATGGCCTTGTGTCGTTAGGCCAGTTATTTGACCTCTTTAAAACTTAGCAAAATAAAAACTGTAACAGTATATATGGAGATACGCATGTGAAGTGATTTTCGCAGTGTAAACATTTAGTAAACATTAGGCTTTATTGCTAATGTCCAGAGTAGTTATCAGTTCAGTTCAGTCACTCAGTCGTGTCCGACTCTTTGCGACCCCATGAATCGCAGTACAAGGCCTCCCTGTCCATCATAAACTCCCGGAGTTTACTCAAACTCATGCCCATTGAGTCGGTGATGTCATCTGGCCATCTCATCCTCTGTCGTCCCCTTCCCCTGCCCCCAATCCCTTCCATCATCAGGGTCTTTTCCAACGAATCAACTCTTTGCATGAGGTGGCCAAAGTATTGGAGTTTCAGCTTCAGCATCAGTCCTTCCAATGAACACCCAGGACTGATCTCCTTTAGGATGGACTGGTTGGATCTCCTTGCAGTCCAGGGAACTCTCAAGAGTCTTCTCCAACACCATAGTTCAAAAGCATCAATTTTTCAGCGCTCAGCTTTCTTCACAGTCCGACTCTCACATCCATATGTGACCACTGGAAAAACCATAGCCTTGACCAGATGGACCTTTGTTGGTAATGTCTCTGCTTTTTAATATGCTATCTAGGTTGATCATCACTTTCCTTCCAAGGAGTAAGCATCTTTTAATTTCATGGCTGCAGTCACCATCTGCAGTGATTTTGGAGCCCAAAAACATAAAGTCTGACTCTGTTTCCACTGTCTCCCCTTCTATTTACCATGAGGTGATGGGACCAGATGTCATGATCTTAGTTTTCTGAATGATAAACTTTAAGCCAACTTTTTCACTCTCCTCTTTCACTTTCATCAAGAGGCTTTTTAGTTCCTCTTCACTTTCTGCCATAAGGGTGGTGTCATCTACATATCTGAGGTTATTGATATTTCTCCCGGCCATCTTGATTCCAGCTTGTGCTTCTTCCAGCCCAGCGTTTCTCATGATGTACTCTGCATAGAAGTTAAATAAACAGGGTGACAATATACAGCCTTGACATGCTCCTTTTCCTATTTGGAGCCAGTCTGTTTTTCCATATCCAGTTCTAACTGTTGCTTCCTGACCTGCATACAGGTTTCTCAAGAGGCAGGTCAGCTGGTCTGGTATTCCCATCTCTCAGAATTTTCCACAGTTTATTGTGATCCACACAGTTGAAGGCCTTGGCGTAGTCAATAAAGCAGAAATAGATGTTTTTCTGAAACTCTCTTGCTTTTTTCGATGATCCAGCAGATATTGGCAATTTGATCTCTGGTTCCTCTGCCTTTTCTAAAACCAGGTTGAGCATCTGGAAGTCCTCGGTTCACATATTGCTGAAGCCTGGCTTGGAGAATTTTGAGCATTACTTTACTAGCGTGTGAGATGAGTGCAGTTGTGCGGTAGTTTGAGCATTCTTTGGGATTGCCTTTCTTAGGGATTGGAATGAAAACTGACCTTTTCCAGTCCTGAGGCCACTGCTGAGTTTTCCAAATTTGCTGGCATGTTGAGTGCAGCACTTTCACAGCATCATCTTTCAGGATTTGAAATAACTCAACTGGAATTCCATCACATCCACTAGCTTTGTTCATCGTGATGCTTTCTAAGGCCCACTTGACTTCACATTCCAGGATGTCTGGCTCTAGGTGAGTGATCACACCATTGTGATTATCTGGGTCGTGATGATCTTTTTTGTACAGTTCTGTGTATTCTTGCCAACTCTTCTTAATATCTTCTGCTTCTGTTAGGTCCATACCATTTCTGTTCTTTATTGAACCCATCTTTGCCTGAAATGTTCCCTTGGTATCTCTAATTTTCTTGAGGAGATCTCTGGTCTTTCCCATTCTGTTGTTTTCCTCTGTTTCTTTGCATTGATAAGGAAGGCTTTCTTATCTCTCCGTGCTGTTCTTTGGAACACTGCATTCAGATGGGAATATCTTTCCTTTTCTCCTTTGGTTTTTGCTTCTCTTCTTTTCACAGCTATTTGTAACGCCTCCTCAGACAACAATTTTGCCTTTTGGCATTTCTTTTCCATGGGGATGGTCTTGATCCCTGTCTCCTGTACAGTGTCACGAACCTCCATCCATAGTTCATCAGGCACTCTGTCTATCAGATCTGGGCCCTTAACATCTATTTCTCACTTCCACTGTATAATCATAAGGGATTTGATTTAGGTCATACGTGAATGGTCTAGTGGTTATCCCTACTTTCTTCAGTTTAAGTCTGAATTTGGCAGTAAGGAGTTCATGATCTGAGGCACAGTCAGCTCCAGGTCTTGTTTTTGCTGACTGTATAGAGCTTCTCCATCTTTGGCTGCAAAGAATATAATCAATCTGATTTCAGTGTTGACCATCTGGTGATGCCCATGTGTAGAGTCTTCTCCTGTGTTGTTGGAAGAGGGTGTTTGCTATGAGCAGTGCGTTCTCTTGGCAAAACTCTATTAGCCTTTGCTGTGCTTCATTCCATACTCCAAGGCCAAATTTGCCTGTTAGTCCAGGTGTTTCTTGACTTCCTACTTTTGCATTCCAGTCCCCTATAATGAAAAGGACATCTTTTTTGGATGTTAGTTCTAAAAGGTCTTGTAGGTCTTCATAGAACCGTTCAACTTCAGCTTCTTCAGTGTTGCAGAGTAGTTATAATTATCCCCATTTTGTGGATGAGGAACTAAAATCCTGATAAGTTAAATGACTTCAAATCATTCAACATTTTATTTATTGTACTTTTGTTGGCCAGACATTGTTCTACCTACTGGGGCTACAGCACAGAGAAAGTTAAAGAAGATCAGTTGTAGAATGTGTCCTTTTACTGAAGGGACTCAGGAGAAAGGCAAGTAACAGATACACAAGAATTTCAGATAACAATCAGTACAGCCATTGAAAGTCAGGAGGAGGGGTACTAAAGAAAGGTCTGTTTGAGTCTAGTCCTGAGTGATGATAAGGAGCAACCTACCAATGACAGTTCTAAGTCATGCAAAGGCGGGTAGGCAGGAAAGAGCTACTTACCAATGAAAAACAAAAAGGAGGCCAGTGTGTTCCTAGCATTGTGAGCAGGAAGAAAAGTTGGTCAGAAATGGGTCAGAGCAGGTCTACGGGGCCAGGTAATAGAGCCTTTTAAGCCATGTCCAAGGTTTATATTTTTTTAAATTTATTTTTAACTGGAGTATCAAAGGTTTGTATTTTATTCTAAAAGTAGTATGAAGCTTACAAGTGAAATCTGATTCACATTTTAAGAAAGATACTGGTTTTGGAATGGAGAGTGGACTAAGGGGAAGGGAACAAAAAAAGAAAATAGAACAGTTAGGAGGCAATTGCAGTAGTCCAGGTGAGTGATGATGGTCACCTTAAAAGAGCAATTGATTAACTTGTGGTCACAGGCCACAAAATTACAAACCAAAAAACAAAGAATCAGAAAGTATCTTGTAAAAAAAAAAAAGTATCTTGTGACTCTTCTACTTTGGCACAAAAATTTCAAGATGCTTTGATTCTGAAAATTTATTCTTGTGTTATGAGAATGTTTGTTTGTCAGGTTTTTTTTTTTTTTTTTCTGTTAACTACCTTAGTTCTTACACTAGATTGTCATCTCTTTTAGGTTGAAACACTTCATATTTTAAATTCCTTACAGCATAGACTCAAACCCCATGCAAATGTTAATGTCGCTGAAACCAACAAAGCATTCCCTTTGACCATTCTTTTTTCCCAGGCAACCCTTCAGTGTATCAAACAGGTAGCAGCATAAATTTGTCAATAATAATGTCTTTGTTTTGGATTTTTGTTTATAATTAGTTGCAAATGAAATTACTCTTTTCCAAGGTACAATAATCTGGATAGCAGTAATACAGTGTTGACTGCAGTTCTTAATGAGCCTGAATATGCTTGTGACATTGCATAAATCATTATGATAACTAATACTGAGTAATGGCTTCTACCATGAATGAAATGGGGACACCTCAGGCAAGGCTAGTGCAGCCCTTTCCTGCAGGTAGAAATGTTTATTTCAAACTTAAAACATCAGGGACTGGACTGACATTTCAGACTTGGCCCCTTTAATTTGTAATATCATTTTTTAGTAGTAACTAATTGAATCTTGTGAACCCTTTCTAGTTACCTATGATCATGTCCAATTTTACATAGTAGGTAAAATAGTGGATTATTTTTCATGCAGACCATTT